CTTTTGCCACACCCATGAGACCCAACAAAGTTTAAAATGTTCTTATACCGCTAACACATGGCTTAATTGATTGCCTTATCTAAATAATATAACTTCATTTCTACAACGTAATAAATTAAAATTTTGTTTTAAAAATATTGAAAATCACTAATACACAGAAGACCAGCGTAAAATAGCAGCTTTCTGCTAATGTTTCTGCTATGGTGCGTTTAAATAATAATAATTCCCTTTTGTAGACACAGTCGCCTCCCTCTACTGGCTACGTTTCGGTGATCTCTTTGAGAAAACCGAGAGTTTTGTCTGTGCGATACAGATCAGGTTATTAAGACCAACAACTATCGAAGATACATCCTAAGGGATGGCAGCGTCGACATCTGTCGAACTTGTCGTCATCCCGGTGGGTCACTTAGACATGCCATCTCCGGTTGTTTCTTCTCTGAGTTTCTAAGTCTAAGTATTTGCACAGACACAACCTAGTAGCAGGGATTCTATACCATGAGCTCGCTCTGAAATACGGTCTTGTGAATCGGAAACTGCCTCGTGAAACGGAAACTGCCTTATTATAAGTACTTTCCGCAAGCCGTGCTTGAAAATGACCGCGCCAAGCTCTATTGGGACCTGGCCATCATCATAGACAGAACTATTCTTGCTCTTGCGAATAAGCCTGATATTGTGCTGGTGGACAGGGTACAGTCAAGAATATTTTTGGTCGATATTATCATTCCTTATAACGAGAACCTCGTGAAAGCCGAAACAGATAAGCAGACAAAATATCTGGACCTGGCTCACGAGGTTACCGACATGTGGGGTGGTCTGCCAGCCGAAATTATTCCTGTGGTCGTTTCTGCGAACGGGCTAATCCCGGTCAGCCTCTTGGGTCATCTTAGGCGACTGGGACTTCGTGACGGACCGCTCCGGGCTCAAATGCAAAAGGCGGTGCTCCTCGATACCGCCCGCATTATCTGCCAGTTTCTTTCCCTTTCCCCCTAATCCTCGGCCGTTTGGTCCCCCCTGCCGAGGGCTTCCATCTGGTTGGGTTTTATTTATGTATGTATTTATTATTAGTATAACTTAGGTCACTATATTTTACCATAGGTGTCATAAAAGTTGATTAGAAGATTCTAAAAACCTTTTTTTTCTTTTCCTACTTAAATTATACAAATACTAGCAATGCTGTTGACATAAGTTTAGAGCAAAGAATATATGTGTTCTGTGAACTATCTTATATTCAAGTTAACCCCTTCAGGTAAGCTTAAAATGCTTGCGTTAGGAATAGTTCACGACAGTAGTTAATTAGCGGATTTGAACCCTTGAGTCCGCGATCCGGAGCGACAGAAGCCTAATGATAGGGCTTAGGTTTTTGTCGCTCACATAAATATTTAGATTAGTAATAAGAGTGAAATCTCTCGTACTATGATCCATTCCATTCCAACATAATGTATTTATATAGTTACAACAAATTCTATCAGATTGGGAGAGACCTAACCAACAAATGACGGATTGCAAACTAATAATCAATATACTATGCATTAATTATATTTAATATTATTTCTAAGTATTATTAACTTTAAAGGTAAATTTGGACTTATACTCAAAACACTAAGTATAGTATATATAGAGTAATTAACAAATAAATGCAAGAATGCTTATACCCACGTTTATAATAGTAGTTTAGTAATCAACTTAGAACATAATATTTTTGTATCCGGTAGCCAACATTTTAAGTCTAAATTATGCTTTATGGTATTTAATTTTAATATATGTATTATAATAACCATTTTTAAATTCCTCGTTGGTGTCATTCTATGTAATTTATTTCAATTAGCACATAAACAACTAATTGAGTTGAATTTTAATAACCGTCACTATTACACAATCGTCTTTAAATATTAAGCAAGTAAATGCAAGTAATCTAACTTATTTCTAAAAATATTACCTAAGGCTCTAGATACGCAGGAAGCTCTATTTTATTCTAAATATTTTACTTTTATATATTATTTAAATCTAATAAGCTGTTGGCCCGGTGGTAATTTCAAAAAACACACATTGAGAAGTCACCGAGTAAGGAAATCCACTATACAGATAAAAAATGCATCATTAAGAAAACAGGCATCATATGACATTCATCAGTAAAAAAATATCAAAATTAAGTTAATAAGGGTTAATAAGGAATTGGTTTGAGTAAGAGGATACAATAAGAAAGTATTAGAAATACATTTTGAGCATGTGGATGAGGTTATGATGTGGAGGGAGGGGAATGTGGATATTGATTAACAAAAAGTTTAAGTTAAAGCAAGATTGCGTATGAGTTCTTAAATAAAAAAATAATAGCGAAAATTAAAAACAGGGGTATTATATTTTATAAAAATTAATAGCACATGGAATAGCTTCAGGAATCGAACTTTACTCGTAATTCTTCGATACATTATGTCTTAGCACCGAGTACAGAAGCTATATATGTTTTAGGTTTTTACTTTTTATTAAAAATCACCTAATACCGCGTACTTATCCGCTGCTCACTTATTTTAAAACGGACAAAGATATTTAAGTAGTAGTAGTAACTATATTTTAAACCTCTTTGAAAACGGATATCTTATAATTGCTACGCTTGGCAGTCGGATGAAGGTTTGTAGTTCCAGATCTAATGCACTTTAATGTTTGCTCCCCATAGCTAATATGGTTATTTATCGGAGAATTTACTGACCTTTTCAATCAGCGCCTCTTACGACACCCTCAGGACAAAATGCGAGATTTTACGTGCGTATGATTAAATATACTGCTCTAAACATAAAGTTCAAAGTAATCGTTTTATAGAATGTTTTTGTAGATTTACATACCTAAGTCAAACTGCATCATCAACATTCCTTTTAAGCATAGTTTTGCATCCGTTTGTCTACGTCAGCGTCCTCGTTGGATGTCAAACGTTTGGCATCCGCATGAAGCCTATAAGTAATTTACTAGTTCTCGATATGCTAACTTTTCCCTCAATACCTTATACCATCCATATAAAGAAGTTAGAGAAACGATTTTAAATCTGTATCCATACAGATATGGCCTCGTACATGATTGCATTTATATTATGGAATATAATAGTTTTTTTTTTTTTAAAGATTACATGTAATTCGTATTGAATCTTTTTTTACTTTTACCATTAATTCGGACAAAAAGCTCTTTCCTGAGAAGAACCAGCAAGAAATCCAGTAGAACTTTTATTTTCTAATTAAATTATACAGTAAGAAATGATATACAAACTATTTACAAAATTTATTTTAGTTATTTTCACGGCTCCGTGGCGCAGTGGCTTAGCAATGAGTTGTTGCGCTGGGTGCCGCGGGTTCAAATCCCGCACGGACAAGTATTTGTATGGCCTACAAATAATTCTTCCGGGTCTGGATTTTTGTCCTTGTGCAATTTATGTTTGTAAACTGCCTCCACGATACAGGAGAAACTCCTAGTGTGGGTGTGACGTTTTTTTTTAAATGAAAAAAAAAAACAAGAAACAAGTTGCAGCTTGGAAGTGACCACCTCATTCCCACGGGTTATCATCAACATAAAACATGCATTTATATTATGAAAACCTTTTTTATACAGTTTTTGTTTAATAAAGTATTTAAACTTGGTATTACCATATTTGAGACCTTGTATATTTTTGGGACTATGTTGTAATAGCGGATATATTGCCCAATGAATGAATTACTGACTCTGTGGAGTCGATAAACTGGTATTACCAACTTGTATTTGTTCCTAGTGTTTACAGAGTGTATATCACTCTTTTTACTAAATCTACTTTTGTTTCATTATACTAATGTAACACATACTAATTTTTCGTAAATATAGAGAGAGGTCAAAGTTAATATGTTTGTTTCTTTAAATTTTTCTCTGAGATTCTCTCGGTTTTAAATAGCTCTTATGGCTCTCTTCTGCAAAACAAAAATAGTTTCGAAATCAGCCGCACTACCCCATAGCGAAATACCAGAATAGTATTATTAATATTAGGGATTTCAAGATATTTTAGACAAAATTTGAAAAAAAAATTTGCAAGCCTCAAATTCTTTCCACTAAGACCAAGTACAAAAATATAGTTAAGTATTATCAACCTTATATTTATTTAAATTTAGCAGTTCTCTACAATGACATAATACTACTAGTAACGGGTATCATAACGGAGAGGTGTTATGCCTCGTTGCCAAAGTGTACTCATTTATGAGTTTTCTTTGACCATATATTATGTAAGCTAAAACTATCTCAGACAAAATTAACACAAACAAAATTAAGTAAGCTACGTAGGGTCAGCTCACAACGCAACGGATTGTCTATCTCTTAAGCGTGTTCTTTAAAATTTTATAGAAAGTGAGCTATTTTTTCCAGATTTTGAGTTTTGCTATCCAAAATATTTAATGTTTGGGGCGCTACTTTGAATCATTTTATTTAATTATTACCATCGCCTGCTTGCTGGATCGTGTGGCAACCGGTAGAGCAGCAGCAGCAGGTAGACGAAGGGTAGGGCGGCCCCCACTAGATGGAGTGGTGACCTAGTAAAACATGCAAGAAGTCGATGTATGCAGGTGGTTCAGTACCGTGCTTTCTGGCGTTCCTTGGGAGAGTTCTATGTTCAGCAGTGGACTTGTAATAGGCTGTAATTAATGAATGAAAAAATAGGCTACTTAGAAGCTCCATACGTTGAAAATTCCTCATAATTATTCTTGAAGGCCTACCCTACTCAATATCAAAGTTGAGATAGGTATAACAAATATTTTACTTTATTTTCTTATCTTGAAGACCCTAATGTTTTATTATATTTGGTCAAAAACTCTAGAAAATTAAAAAGTTTTCTAATACTTTACAATTCAAAATTAATAGTAAAATAGTTTCATTACATGGGTATAGAAAGTTAACAAGGAGGTAAAGGAAAATAGTGAAGTTAAAATTTTTTTTTGCTTAATTTTTAATTTATTGAATAATATGTGCATATTTCTCTTACAACAAACACGTCTTTCCAGGACATGGACAGATGAATGCACTGGAGCTGGTGAGGTGATATGAGGTAAAACACGCGGGTCACAATGCGGACTTCACGACATACTACAGACTAGCCGACACGCTCTCACTGCACTCTACTGTTTAGATTGAGGTAAGTCTCTTATATATCAAATATCAAATATCCTTTTTCATATCAAAGCAAAAACAAACTTAAGGATTTTCTAATTATCAGTTTAACATTTTATAAATTAATACAATGAAATAAAAGCTACACTTTGAATTAGCCAAACTCTCAGACCAAGAAATAAAGCGGAGCGCTGCGTACATTTTAAGTAATGTCGAAACCATGCTCAACATCTTAACGCACAGGTACTGCTTTTTTCTTTCTATAACAGCCCGTAAAAGTTCAACTTCTGGACGCACACATATTTACCAAGAACCATGTTGATGATTGCAAATGCTTTTAGATGTGTTTGTGAGTGTGGTGGGTACAATAGGTTAAGAATCGTTGAGCATGGTTCCCGCGTCGTTAGAATTGTAACGCTACTTCTATCTTTTTTGTTGATCTGAGGCCAAACTAGTAAAAATATTTAAAATAATCGATGAAATTAATCAGCTTATAAATGACTAAAAAAAATAAGTCAGTATTATACTATTTTTTAATTATGATTTTACGCAGAACTTATTTTTCAATATATTTTTAAAATATTAAAATTTTGCTCTACCACGTATATTAACTATACTGACTCTATTGAAATATTACGGTTATTTTGACAAGGAATTACTAAAAATTTAATGAACATGAGTACAAGTCTTCCTTATTCATTTATGCTGTGGCCCATAGACACCTAGGTCTAACCTTAAATAAGAATCAAAATGCAGACGCGCGACCCCTGAGGATTAAAATACCAAAAAAGAGGGTCTTACATCTACAAAGCAACAACTGTTTTATTTTCACTAATTGACACGAATAACATACAGTTCAAAATTTAATTAAGTACGAAGTGGATTTCAATACATTTTTTAAAATATTAAATTAAAAATAATCTCCAAAGTCAAAATATTTATCTACATGTTTTGCATTTCCATATATTATCCACAAAACATTACATAATATTTAATATTTATTACAATAATAAAAAAAAATTTACTCTAAAATTATCATACAGTCCTACTCCCCGCGATATAGTGCTAAGAGCTCTGACTGCATTTCCTCACTGAATAGTTATAACTAACTTTATGCGAGAAAAGAACCAGCCTTGCTCAGTCAGCTCTTGTCATCAGCAGTGACAATCAGTCGTGGGTACAGTTTTTTCGAAACTTCACCGCACGTGAACACCACGGATCGACGGACTACGATAAATGCCATAAATATGTAGTCATCGCTCTGAGACACATATTTGGGCCATTTTGGACACTAAGTTCAGACGCCTCTGATGTTGTCCCAATGAACACGGCACGCAAAACGGTCTGCGAAATATATTCCAAAGGATCAAAATCATACCATGAGCTCTCCTGTCATCGTCTCTAAATATTCCATTAAGCTTGAAAACAGGGCATATTTACAGACAAGACAAGAACACTTCGGATTCATTCAAAATCCTAAACTAATTCCAGCCGTTCAATTTCAGCATCGCACATCGCGACAAAACTCGCGATACCATCCATACCATTTGAATGATTAGCGGTTCACCACTGTGCGATTTAGAAGATGTTTTCTTCCTCGCACAACTTCCCTGTGGAATCGATTACCAACAGCGATTTTTCAGGACCGATACGACTTAGGGACCTTCAAGAAAAGAGCCTACTCCTTTTTAAAAGACCGGCAACGCATCTGCAATTCCCCTGGTGTTGCAGTTGTTCATGGGTGGCGGTAGTCACTTACCATCAGATGAATTGCATGCTCGTTTGCCCCCTCTCCTATAAAAATAAGGAATGCTTTGGTGGTTTGGTCATGTAGAAATAATGAATAAGGAAAGAGAGACAAAGCAAATTTATGCTGCAGAAATGAACGGCAGAGTCGGGAAGGAACGCACTTGGCGAAGGTTTATCGGTCAAGTTGGCGATATATTGAAAATGCACCAAATTAAGAGTACTCTTGACCGACAAGCTGAATCGTGCCAAATGGAAGTCCGTAGTCTCGCAACATCCCTCTGGGTGACAGGCGTGAGTGTTTATGTATGAAAAATTTCTCATACGGATTCCTCCAAATTTCATAATGAAAAGAGCTTATCCAAGCTGTTGATTTTAAAGATGACATTTTTTTCTATAGTAGTAGTGTACTTTACAGCACCCATGGTCACGGGGGACTATAAAGTAGGACCATGGGTGCTGTAAAGTACCCGAAACGTCGGTAATCAGAAAAAAACAACTTAATTAAACGCGATAGAATCCCTAAAAGTAGTTTTATTCAATGTGTAGTGTTCGCGTAAATATAAGAAATCACTATTTCGTAATGTTACGTTTTGGCCGTGGCAAGGAAATGGGGAGATCTCACGCCGGGCAAGGTGTTCTGCCCGGAGAGTGACCAAGTAGCTTTACTGCTATACTTCAGAACTTTGATAGCATGATTTAGGATTTGATGAGTTTCGCTTGTGGCTCGACGACACATCCCCCCTGCTCAGACCGAAGGTCGATAGTGCACTCCGATTGCCGGTACGTCATTTAATGCCGGTGGAGAATGCATGCTGTGTGCATAAGGGCATGTGACGCCGGTGCGAACGATATGCCGGTGTGTAATGCATGCCGTACACACTTGCCAATGATCCCGGCGAGAACGATGGGCCGGAGCAAGTGTCAGAAGTCTGCCTTTAAATCTGCGGTGAATCGAGATGAAGACAATTTGCATTGGCTTGCAGGAACTGAAGACTGCAGGAGACGATTCTTGGAAGTGAATGGTAGGGGTTCTTGAGAAACGATGAAGACTTGAAGTTATAATGTCGGAAGGTTGTTGGTTGCGTGTTTACAACACGTCGGGGTCACCACCAGTTTGACCGTGGTAAGAAAAATGGGAGATCTACCGCCACGCAAGGTGTTCTGCCTGGGAAGCGGCCAACGCTCCGAGTGGTAGTTCGGAACTATTCTATATTATAGGCAGTGCTTTACTTCGGAACTTTGATAGCTCGATTTAGGCTTCGATGTGTTCAGCGCCGCCACAACGTGAATATTTGTCACTTAAATGCAATAATTTTTGTTTGAAATATCACCACAATTCATAAACCAAAATGGTGTTAGCTTCATCAAATATGACATAAGTTTAAGTGGACTAGTTCGATGGCCTGATGATTACAACGTTAATCCCAGATTGTCATACTTATAGTTTTCATTGTCACCAAACATACTGTGGCCTCATTTAAGTCGAGAGAAACGCACATTTTTGTATGCTAAGGCCATTGGACAAATTGGTATTTTAACAGCGAGAGTTTGCGCAGTAGTCCCCCAATTATTAAGAATTTTATTGCAAGACAATTTTACATGTGACTCTTTAGGAACTGCCTGAAAATAAAACAACCAAGTAAAATAAAATAAAAACAGTAAAACTAAAACAGAACGTACCCTCGTCTTAATCAAAATTGACATTTGCAAATAGCTCTGAATTTCCAGTTGACAAAAAAAGCATTATAAATGTAAAAGTTTTACTAAGACGGTGTAACTGTATTCTCAAACACTTACAGTTGTCACTTTTGAGATGGTTTTCCCATCGCCTATCGGATAAGGCAACAAAATATTGGCAATTTACTTTGCAAATCTCACGAACTCTATGAGGGATAATTTTACATATACAACAGTCGATACAATGTTGTATATGTAAAAATAAGTATGTAAAATTTTATTTTTTTACTCGTAAACCATCATGAATAGATGTCATTTATGCTTACTTAAAATTAATATGTTTAATTTTTCTTCAGCATATTGAAAATATATGGCTCTTCATTATAATAAGTAGTCATTATCATATTATAGTGACAGTAGCCTACTGGTATTAACTACGAGTATTATTTAATCTGTGCTGCTGGTTAAAGGTCGCAATTTAACTTCTGTCTTGAACCACTCCTATAACAAGCACTTTAAGTTTGTTAGTGGTTAACGAGAGTTATTAGTTGTTTTAATACCACTGTTAGTGTTCTTGGAAAAATATAAAAAAATATCACTTTGTCTATCGTAAATCCACTGCTTTTTCTCTCTTCTCTTATCTTTAAAAAACATTAATTAGTATTTTAACAGCGAACAGAGAAATTTAACAGTTACTGCAACCCTTAACTCATTGCAGCGTCACAAATTTAATCTTTCTGAATAAAAGTTTTTGCAGCTACAGTGAAGTTATGATAAAAGAATAAAATGTATATTTAAAACATGACATCTAGAGGAATAGAGATCTTTAGGTCCTGCAGTTATATTAATCACTTCACCATCATCATCTTTACAGCCCATCACAAATCTACAGCTGAAAAGATATATCTCCCTAAAGATATAAAATCTCTTTATGTGGTTATGCATTACTGGCCATTTCAAATCAAAATAATTTTTATTTGGTTAAAATTCCAATTTGAAGTTTATTTTAGTTTAAAAACTTGGAAATCATTTTTCAAAACTAGTCATTTGTTTATTAATCAATATTAGGGTTCTCATCGCATTTGAATCTCTTTTGTCATCATGAATAGGTACGTTAAAAATTTGAGTAATTATGGAATATGCGTACCACCTGTTATTGGTTTGCGCCGTTCGTTAAGAAAATTTTGACCTAAAAATTGAACCCCGTGGTCGTCCGAAAATTTTGGTCAACATTGACGAATTATAGGCGATTGTGAAAGCTGATGACTCAATCTACGGCTGAATTAGCAGCAGCTTCTGACGTTAGCATCAAAACAATGTTGGTCCATTTGCGTCAAATTGGCAAGGTAAAGCCTATTTGTCAAGCTTTTTTGCTTGACAAATGGGTGTCCCACGAACTCAATGATCACCAGCGCGAAGTACGCATTGAGAGGTACCTTGCACTGCTCAATAGGCACGTGGATCCAGGTTCAGCATCTAAACAGTGCCCTAATAGTCTGAGAGCTGGCTACGAAAACGTGAACTGATAAGGTGTAGTAACAAATTATATATATAACCTCTCCTTGGTAGCTTATAAGTACAGAGCGAGGCCCGTCAGAA